GAGGAGGAGGAGGAGGAGGAGGAGGAGGAGGAGGAGGAGGAGGAGGAGGAGGAGGAGGAGGAGGAGTATCTGCGATTTATCACCGAATTGGCTAGCCTAGCCAATGATGAAATGGAGGGAGAGGAAAGAGGAGGGAAGGTGGAAGAGGAAGTTTAACAACCCATGATGCAGTTCGCATTCCTGATTGACTTAGAGGTAGACAAATGGTTTTCATTCGACTCAGCTGCTTGGATATTCAAATGTCCGCAACCTAGTACAAGATAAATCAAGGGGCTGTGACCCATTCCTCTCCCTCACAAAGTAGTCATTGGGGCTTCTTCACTTAGGTTCCAAAAGCAAATTCATAATCTGTTGCAAAAAATAGAAAGTTGTCTTATTTAAATCTCAAAATATGCTGAGAATTGCGCTGCGAACCCGACATATATGTCCAATTTGGAGGAAGTTTGTACCAAATCCAGGAAAAAGGAAAGCAAATTTGCAAACGCAGCTGGTGGGCGTGGAACGCATGAAAACTTTGCCCCAAGAGTCACGAGGACAATCAGTCTTCCTCAGCCGTGTGGAGCGTCTTACACTTGGGTTTAATTAATCCTCTCCTTTCTTTTCCACATGAGGAGGAGGTGACAAAAGTTTGTGCCGAGAGGAGAAAAAAAGCCAAAAGTTCAAACCTAACGTAGTTAATAAAAGATACCGCTCGATTAAAAAAAGTTATTCACGTTCTGCAAAAGCTGTTCCCTCCTCCCCAGCTGGCCGAGGCGCGACACCGCAGCATTACTGCACACAGTGATAAGGCGCGAGTGTTTCCTACTGCGACTGGTAATGTGGGTGGTGAAAATGTCTCGTGCTACCCAGTCCATTTCACATGGCGCTAGTCACGAGGGCTGGCAGCAGCCGTAACTTGTGGGTGTGAACCGCTATGTACTAGTGCGTAGCGGTCATCGAATTTTCTTTTCAACTACAGAGGCTTACAACAACCCCAACCCGCGAATGCAAACTGATACAGCCAACTTTTTCACGTCACGCTCTGGTGACGGAGGACTCACTCCCTCAGTGGAATGAAACTAAAATTGAACTAGGGTGCACATTTTAAAGGAAGTAGTCGTATGCTTGTTAGTAACAACTCCGACCATGATCGTTCCACCTCAAGTTCACGGAAATAATCGCGCCAACATTCATCCAAAACGTGACACGACCCATAACCCACCAGCAAAGTGTGCAGAATAGCAATCGCAGTCACCTTTTACGAACTCTTGCGATCTCCGATCTTTTTTTCTGTCTGGGCATCCCAGATACTAGCTTTGGGGGACGGAATGTGACGCAGGAGAAAACCATTTTATGCACTTTCCATCTTCTTCACTTATCTCGAAAGTCTGGTCTAAATTAAACGCGCTGTCAAACAATCATAAAAATCAAAAAATCATAACACAAACCCGTTTCCATCACACCCAAAATCAACTACAGCCTCATTTCATTAGTTGCGGGGGGAAATCATTCACCTGGTCCAGATAAAATCTCAGTAGTTTTTACACACAGATTCACATACTCGTTATAAAAGAGTGGGAATTAAAGATTTGTTTTGTTTATTTAAAGCAGATATCCCAACTCAACTTAGATAGAGTTGGTGAGAGAAAAGTAGGCGCGGACGTGTATTTTGGTCCCTCGTTACCATCAAAAACTTCAAACATAAATAAGGCACTTTATATTCAACCATTTTTATACAAGAAACCGAATGATAAATCTTAATATGAAAAGCCCACGTTTGTTTAAACTTACAGGTTTGTAAGCGGAGATAAGACAACCTATTTAGTGAATTTCAAAAACGTTGCCGTAGTACAGAAAAAAAAACCGTTTAACTTTTGGCTATTTTGAAGCAAAGCAGCCGTACATTTGCAGGTGTCATTGCTTTATTTTCTGCACGGATGTGCTCGACCGCTGAAAATAAAATCAAGAAATAATTCAACGGCAAAGGCAGATCCACTCCCAACAAAATCAGTAGTTCGGAGAGCCTTCTGGCCAAAATGCATCCAGAAGGGACACGAAGGGTTCCATTATCGTTTTAAGCAAATTTCCCACAAATATTGAATCTTACGTATCCAAAGATACGCATATTTACTGAAAAAATTAGGGCGAACTTATTGGCATAATAGACGGATCATGGAAGGACTACGGTGTTGTTAGCACGAACCGAAGACTACGCCGCTGAGCTGAGGTAAGACCCGCGGAATATTAAGCGCCTATGTAGTTCAACACGCAGCTAAACAAAAGGCCAAATCACTACTGTTGAGCGTTGTCCTCGACCCTCCCCTTCCTCAACCCCGCGCCGGCCATCACAACGTGTTCAGTCACCTGCGAACCAGCAACGCCAGCCACTGAGGAGGCATTTGCTCCAGCATCGGCAAATCCGAGGTTCACCTTGTGGCCAAAGTTATGGATACCTCCACTCTGCTGGACTGTTAACTCCAGATGAAGTGATTCCCCGTATCCACTTCCACGTCGAGGTGTTTTTTTAGACACGCCGCTGTAGTATAGGTTTGCCTGATAGTAACGCAATTGGAAAGTGCTTCCTCTCAGATTTACCCATTCAATCCAGTTATTTATAGGTCAACAAAATTTATAAATCACAAGGCATTCCAACTTCCTCCCACGCACAGATTTAGCTGACCCCCAATGATAGCTAAGGCAGTAACGAACCATGGAAACAAAAGTCCACTCGTCAGTGATTATACACCCATTCAAGTGATCATTTCAAGAGGGTGGATTTGCTTCCCCCGTTCGAAAGCAAAGAAGGGGAAACTGCTTATGCGTTTTTCAACTAGCAGAGTAGCCTGTTCGATTCATGCACACACCTTGCAACTTCATTGTTCCACGAGAGGAGTGGCTGACTGAGTACAACAAAAACTCCTCCCTCCTCGTCCCCGAACTCAAAAAGGCCTCAACCTTGAATGCATCTGACGGCAAGCAGATTAAATCTTATTTTGGGAAAAAAGACGCGAAATTTCAAACTCGACCGTAGCATTCTGTCGTAGAAGGGCACCTGTCATAACACATCAGACAGTCAGAGGTACGGTAGCCGATATTATCGTATTGAGTATTCAAACAAGTTAGAAATGTCCCCGCAGCCATCGTACCAAGAAATGGGGAAGGGGAACCGGTGGGACATCACGTCTAATCAAGGGAGAAGTTGTTATATTTGACAACACAAACCCGAAATTCACCCCATTCTGTTTGAACTCACCAATAATCAGTCTCTTTTTCATCCATCCATCCACCCGTTCATGCAGTCCAAGCCCTTCCGTCCACCGATCCAGGGGGCATTTGTTTGTCCTGGCTACACCTACCATCCATATCTGACTTACGTATTTATTCATCCATCCTGAATACATCCGCCACTCAAATCTGGACCCAGCTACCCTGGCCCCTTACCACATCGAATCCAGTCATTCCGGAAACACTTGTCCTTTTTCGAGAAAAGACATCCTATTTCTATTTTTCAAAGAAATGGGTTCCAGCGCATGTAAAAAAGCAAGTTACGAGGAAACAAAGCAGTAAAATAGATATCTCAACCTCCATAGCACGAAAGACATCAACACCTCTGTTGCCGAAGAAACTGCCTCACCAATCGGTAGGTAAGACTCGTATGGATCGTCTCCACAACAACTGCCTTCGGTGGTCGAGGGATCTCGAAGGTTCCAATATCATCAGCATCATCACGGCCACCGCATTCCAGTCCAGACCGTTGTTGGATATGCACCCTTCGACCGCGGAGTCTTCGAAGGAGGGCGCGCATGCCACGCGTAAGGTTGCGGAGAGTGCAGAGCTCAAGTAAGGTGCGCAGGTTCAGTAGGAGCAGTATGACACTCCCAGCGATAAGGAAGAAGCCGAAGTACTCGCGAATAAGAGTGACTGAGCGAGAGCTTGGAGCGCCCGCCAAGTAGCGATCGATTGACTCAAAGTCGGGCCCCTCTGGAGGCCGCTGATGACAGTGGAAGATGGAGGAGTCGTCGGCTTCGACACCTCTCGCCTCTTTGGCGGGAAGAGGTGGGTCCAACAAGAGGGGCTGCGGTCCATACACCCTGCCAACAGATGCATCAGCTTTTATCTCTCATCCACAACATTTCACCATCTCCAAAGCATTCGTCAACAATGAAGAGAAGAGATGGACACATCCATGCTGTGCTATTTCATTTTGCTTCCAAAGTGAAGTTGAGCAGAAAAATTTGACCAAGAGAAAAAAAATCGGAAATGGCGGCACAATTTAGAATCTAAGCCACTGAAGCGAAATGGAATTTGTGAAAGTCGGGAAAAATAAATCAGCTTTTAAATTGGAATCAAAACTTCACCCGTATACAAAAGCCACATGGAAGAAGGGGAGTGGAGAGAGGGGGGAGGGGGGCGTAAAACAGCCACAAGGGTAAGAGGGGAGGGACAGCAGTGAACGCAATTTTTGTCTCGTTGAAAAGGTCAAAAAACGACCATACCAGAATATTTCTGTGTGCGGACCATGCAATGGGTTCGAACATTGTTTGGTCGTGGCGCTTTCCTTTTCTTAAGGTAGAGACAGGACTTCAAAACTCACTCAAATGCACTATCACTTACTTTAGAGTCAAGGTCAACCCATTACTATAAGAAGTCTTGTCTAAGTAGGCCAAGCGACTTGGATGTGAACTTTAACTCAGTCTCCAGCACGTTGCATCCTTGTACTTACACAGCCACGTCGGACGACAGAGACATCGGCCCTGAAGCCCTTCCTGCTTATCGAGTCGGTGGCCTCGGTTTGGTGGAGGCAACTCGGGCACAGAAACATGCAGCTAAAGGCAAATTGCATCCTATTTCATGGTATTACCAACTCTTCAGTCTCCGCAGTCGTCGATCACCATCTCGTCGTGTTCGAGTCAAGTTCAAGGCAGAACAGCTAACCAGCCATCCTTTCTCCACCCTATAGTGACTTTAGAGAGGCCTTGGACGATATACAAGCATATTCCCAAGCTCACATCTTCCATCCGCGGATGAACGCTCACGCTTCCAGTTATCATGATGACAAATTGCTTGGACAAGGCCATACGAACACCACAACAAGTGATACAATAAAACAGCCCTAAAGAAACATCGGAACTTCGGTAAAATTGGTTTGGCGCCAGTAAGGGGAATATTGACTGAGGTGAGGAACAATAAATTTGACACCTCAATCGGGATTGAGGGTAAATTGTCCCGGGAGTCAAGTGGCTAAGGCGAGCTTGTAGATTAGCATGAAGCAGCTCCAGAAATCTGGCAATGAAAAGCGTTTGCCTTGACGAAGCCAAAATTTTCACACGGAAGAGCAAGCATCCAGGTAACAGTTTACACAATAAAATTTTCCTTAACTGACATGTTTTCACACCTCAAATAATATAAAAAACAAGGAAATTTGACGAGGCAAGTAAGGTAGAGGTAGGGAGGAACAATTTCTTGGATAAGGTATGGGAAAGGTACAAAAATTGAGGCTCCCGACGATCAGAAGGATTTAGTAACCGTAAAACACCGAAATACTGATTAAACCTG